GATAACCCTGTGAGAAACTCTTCGGATATTTTCTTTTTTTTTTTTTTTGTTTTTCTCTCTCTCTCATTTCGTTGCTATTGTTTTTAAATAATTAAAATATCGATCGTACGATCGTTCTTTTATGAGAGATAGGTAATGCAAACACGACTTAAACTGCAATTTATTTCTTTTGAATATTTTCTTTTTTATTATCTTCAATTTCGATAAGCAAGAATCGTCGTTTATACTGGCTCTCGAATATAGTAATACATAACGAAATATTCATCTTGCTCGTATAAACGCCTTGAAGCGAATGAGAAAAAGAATGGAAGAATGAAAGGATGAGAAGGAGAAGGAGTGGGAAAGAGAGATAGAGATAGATGGATAGATAGATAGATAGATAGATAGACAGAAAGAAAGAAAGAAAGAAAGAAAGAACGGAAATGTGAGTGAGATCGTATGACACGTTTAGTCCAAAATAATATCTAATCGAGCTCGGCGAATTGCAATTGGATACATTTGCTCTCGAGAAGGACTTTCGTTGGTTCTTTCTCGTATTACCTACAACCTAGTGTTATCCTCGCTCCTATTTTGCCGAATATTCCTCCGTAATCGAAATGCATATATACATGAGCTTGAGTGGTGTTGATGCGACCTGTATGCGTGTGGGTGCTGATGAAAAAATTTGGAATGTTCCCGCGGAATGTTCAGCCAACGAGAGGGAGAAAGAAAAGAATGATGCGCGTGTATATGCGTCTCTATATGTGTCCTCTATGTGTATCTCTGCGCGCGCGTGTGTGTGTGTGTATGTGTGTGCGTATGGTGTGTGTGTGTGTGTGTGTGTGTGTATGTGCGCTCGTGTTCGTGTATGTACGTATAACGAGAAAAGAGGAAGAGGGTGAGGGAGAGGAGGATAGAGGTGATATGTCATACGGCTCGACGTATGTTCGGTATGGGGAACAAATTTCCATTAGCCAGCTTAACTTTTCACGGTGACCCGAGAGAACGCGTCGCCGGTCAGTGCCAATCAGCAAAAGCCCTGTTTTCAAAACCTGCGTTACGGAGAAAAACAAAAGGACAACAAGAGCCTTTGACCGACCAGTGTGTATACTGGTCCTATACAGTCGTATCTACGACCTTTCCGCGTTGTTTGATTTATCGATCATCGCGAATTGTTGGCCAAAAGTGTTTCGATGAATTTTTTTCTTTCACTTATATATATATATATATATATATATATATATATATATCATATATTCGAACGTTTTCGATAAATTTGATGAGAGGAACAACGACAGCAACGACAGAAAAACAAAAAGAAAGAAAGAAAAAAGAAAGAAAGAAAGAAAGAAAGAAAGAAAGAGTTTAGAGAATAATAATAGTCATGCGCGTTTGTTTTGTTAGAGACGAGTTAAGAAAAATTATATTCGATAGATTTGACAAACGGATTAAAAAGAAAAAAGAAAAGAAAAAAAAACAGAAAAAAAAGAAGAAGAAACAAAGAAAAGAAAAGAAAAAAAAAACCCCCCAGTTTCATCGTTCCCGGGCTGTAGGCAAACGCGCGGAAATAAAGTTAGAGAGATAAATAATAAAGGACGAGCCGGGACAAGCGTTGAGTTTGCGGCGCGTACTCCGGGTAAATGCCTTTGTAAAAGTTTTTATGCATTTCTATGCTCGTCGTGTGTGTATTCGTACGTTTCTGGTATAACCTTTAATCCTTTTCGGTATATACGTATTCTCTTTCACATATGTATGTCTGCTGTCTGGTGCCTGCGTAATACGTTATCCTATTACGTTTAGATAAACTATCTTCTTTAGAGAAACGAAAGGACGTTAAAATACATGCAAAGCTTGCTCTCGTAGATACACGGTGTGCTCCTGTTTTGTATCTTGCGCAGATATTATTTAAGGACGAGAAAGCGATCAAATTGCTACGGTGGTGTCCTTGTGGTACTCTGCTGATTCGTCTCGTTTCATTTCGCCCTCCCTTTCTCCCTCCTTGTCTCCGCCTCTTTCTCTCTCTGTCTCTCTGTCTCTTTCTCTTTCTCTCTCTCTCTCTCTCGCTCTCTTCCTCTCCTCGCTAAAACATGCATATCACATGCGTATGCAGAAACGATTTATCTGCATGGCGTTAGTCGTTATTTCAGTGCTCCGGCGCCCCACTGTCGGAGCACAAAATTACATTAACATAAACACGAGGGTACGAGCGTATGCATCAAAAAGTGTATATCAAGTTGGGTTAGTGGAAGGGCGTGGATGAGTCCTTATCATCTACTGATCGATCCTTTATTCGCCACGTATACCATCCTCCCTTTCTCCTCCTCCTCCTCCTCCTCGCATACTCTCGTATACATAAAGCATGATCCATGATTATCAGAGACCCTTTGTTTTCTTTTTTTTCCTTTTTTTCTTTTTTTTTTTTTTTTTTTTTTTTTTTTTTTTATATTTATGTCCTTCTATCTTTTATAATTTTTTTTTTCTTTTTTGTATTTTTCTTTCCTCTTTTTTCCATTTCTTTTATTTTTCTTTTTTCTAAGCGAACGAATAAAAATTTCACGCGAACACCCTATTTCAATTATTTTGTTTGACGTTCGAAAGGAAGAAGAGGAAGAAGAAGAAGGGAAAAAAAATAACAATGACGTTAAGGTTGCTCGGTATCTGAGGAAAAAAAAAAAGAATAAGAAAAGAAAAAAAAGGGCGGGGGGGAATGTTTTCCAACGAAACTTCGGACCTGGCGTCGGCGGCATTTTCACGAAAAAGAGAAAAAGTCAAAGCGTCGACACGGAGGTGTCGAGTGTTTTTATTCCATTACCTAGGAGCGCCATCCTCTTAACCACTTACTTAACCTACGACCTTCATCCTCGTCTCGTCCGATCGTTTCACTCCCATTCGCCCCTACTACTACTACTACTACTGCTACTACTACTACTACTGCTACTACTACTACCTGTTCTCCAACTTGATGGCCTTCGACAACTCAAATATTATCCGTCGTTCAATCCCTCCCTTGCCGTCTCGGTTATCAGAGGATCGACATTTTTTGAGTCTCTCCGCTTCTCGTTTCTTAAAGTCTTGCCAACTCCTCTCTCTTTCTCTCTCTCTCTCTCTCTCTCTCTCTTTCTCTCTGTCTGTCTTCCCCTTCTTCTCGCTCCCTCCCTTCATTCCCTAAAAACACTTTAAAATCTAATTCCCTTTGACAGCGACGGAACCGATAATGTTTCCACCGAGAACTCTGATTCTCATCCGATTATTTCAAGGTCGTCGAGAACCGATCTACATAGTTATATACATATATAAACATATATATATATATATATATATTTATTTATAATGCATGTATGTATGTATGTACAAGATGTTACATTAGTGTCCACGATCAAACTCTTTAAAAGTTCTTTCACAACTTTTATACAATTTTTTTTGAATCTATTTTATCTAGAAACATTCTTAATATTATTCAGTATGCATATATATATATATATATATATATATATATATATATGATTGTTTACATTCGATTATAATAACAATAACAATAATAATAATAATAATAATAATAATAATAATATTTATATTTATAATATATGTTTTTATATCATATTTATTTCATATTGTCGATATTAATGTCGATGTACTTTTAGGAACACCCTGTATATATGTAACTTCATGAAAACTCGCTTTTAGCGAGGAGACAGCTTACGTAAGAGTCGCGTGTCCGTTTCTCGCGATCGTCTTGCCCGTCTTACATCGTTCTTTATTAAAGATTTTAGATAAGGTTAAAGGCTTCATAGAGACGTCATGGAAGAAGGCCACAAGTTTTTCCGACGTTTAACGTGCCTCGACAGGAGAGGAGAAAAGGAGATAGAGGAGCAGAAAGGAAGGGAGAAAGAGAGAGAGAGACGGAGAGAGAGAGAGAGAGAGAAAGAGAGAGAGAGAGAGAGAGATAAAAGCTAGTAGTAAAATGTACGTGTGAAATCAGCAGAACGGGGAACGTTCCACTTCGTTAATTAAACCGATATAAACGGTGGAATAAGATGCAAATGATCTGGGTGTGGTCGAAATGGAGATACCATCCCAACCCACCACCCTCTTTATTTATTCTTTTTTATTCGACAAAACGATAGCGACACTCACCGTCCTCGAAGTGTCGTATAATAATTCTTATCTTCGCGTTTTCTTTTTTGTTCTTTCTTCTTCTTTTTTTTTCTTTTTTTTCATTCTTTTCTCTCTCCCCCCCCCCCTCTCTCTCTCTCCTTTTTTCTTTTTAATTTTTTTCTTCTTCTTCTCCGCCCTCCCTCTCCCCCCACCTCCCTCTTGTTTTCCTCGCATTTTTTACCCTGACAAAGAGTTAACCGCAGAAGTTTGTTAGAATTTTTATTATCATTCTCCGACTGTTAAAGTCAGATCGCTTTTAGTATCCGGGAAAAATTAATTAAACTTCTAGCTACTGTACTCTAATCAACTTCTCGCACTTCCTCTACACTCTACTTTTTTTTTTTTTTTCTTTTTTTTCTTTTCTCTCTCCCTCTCTCTCTCTCTCTCTCTCTCTCTCTCTCTCTCTCTCTCTTTCTCCAGCACTTTACATTATTCATTCCCCTCACAGTACTCGTGAAAAAGGTTAATATTATAAAGGGACTTATTTTTATTTTTCTTTTTTTTTTGTTTGTTTGTTTGTTTGTTTATTTGTTTGTAAATATGTTTCGTTTCATTTAGCATTATAAAGCCATAGATTTTGTCATTGTCTCGAAGGATTCTCCGATAGGATCGACTGACTTGAGAAAGGAATACAGACGAAGATAGAAAAGACACAAGACGTCGATGTCGGTAGCGAGGTTCCGTTTCGTTTCAAAGAATCGTCCAAGTGTCGAGGGGTGGAAACGTGCGAGGGTGGCTGCTTGCTCGCACGTGGAGGCGGAGCGACGTCGCGCGTCGTGATGCCAGACCGACGCCGGCTTGCGTCCTGCCCCCAAGGCTTTTGGTGGGGAGACCTGAAGAACGCAGTTCTCGACGGATCGCCGAACCGTTATCACGCGAACGTTGACACACGTCCGTTCTTTTCTTCGTTTTCAAACTCGACGAATCCTCCCCACGTGACATTCTATTATTATTTGATCCTTTGTTTTTTTTCCTTTCTTTTTCTAATCATTATAAAACAGAACAAAAAGGAAAGATCCGTTCGTCGAGATAGTGTTCTTATAGGAGATGATGCTCCGTGAAAAAAAATCTAAAGATCTTTAATATACGTCGATCGATAGATATCGTTCAATCGCGATCGATCTCTTAATTATTTCGATCGATCCAAATATATGCCAAAGAGATTTCGATGAACTTGTATAATTGAAGACACGATGTATAATTGAATAGCGTGAATATATTTATTTGTATTTGCATCCATATATATATTTATATATATATATATATATGTATATGTTATATATATATATAAATAAATACACATACTTATATATACACACATATATATATATATATTTATACACACACATACATATATATATATTTTAGTCGATCGTTCGATAAAGACTATAAAAAACACCGATGAGCCGGACCAATTGTTGACTCTTATTCGTTTTCTTTTTAACAGTATTTACTTTATTTTGTTTGCCTTCAGTTAGAGGTGTGTTCTCCAACGTGTGAAGCTTTACCGATCGATCCCCGTCCGCGTGTGTTTTGTGCGGTGCTGTTACAAGATTGACCCCTGCGGTTATGTTGAAGCGTGTCGAATGTATCAGCAGGACCTAACGTATCTCAAAGGATCACCACCTTGGTACTTCGGTTGTGTCGGATGTAAGGATTTTCCTGGATACAATAGACGTCTGAGCGAGGTAAGCATCTTTATAAATTGTATTTTAATTAGTATATATATATGTACATGTTGTTGTCATTCACTGTGATGGTATCTATCGTTGGGAAAATCGAGGACGAGAAAGGAGAGAATTCTATTCTGTTCTTTATAAATTTTCCTTCTTGATGCTTTTATCTCTCTTCACACCGTTGAGATTTAATTTCTGTCTGGCCGGGTACGACAAGTGGAATTTCGTCGTCCTTTCATTCATTTACGAGCGTTATAATTAAGTTTTCATGGGAAGCTCATAAAATCAGCTTACGAATCATCTTTTCACGTCTTTTCATCGATTCAATTACAAAGGAGATAGAGGAGAAGATTGAAAATGAGTGGAGAAAGAGAGAGAGAGAGAGAGAGAGAGAGAGAGAGAGAGAGAGAGAGAGAGAGAAATAGGACATGAGTAAGATGCAAAATACGATTATTCCCAACTGTACATACATGTATATGCATGGAAGACCGTAGAACTTACGTTTTCCCTCTGCTTTGGACCCTCATTAGCGTTGCACCGCGTGGAAACTTTATTACTTGCAAAAACGTCTAATGGCATTTTGAAACTACGTCTCGCTATTTCCCGGATATATCTTTAGGATGACAAATACTCTCTCGGAGTGGTGTGACATGTTATCAACATGTTAAAAAACTCTTTTCAAACTTCTCTCTCTTTCTCTCTCTCTCTCTCTCTCTCTCTCTGTCTTTTTACTTCTGCCTTTCTATCTACTACTCTGTTTGTAATAATGAGCATTCTCGTTTAAATATATTTTTTAGATAATTATAACGATCAAATTCTTTTCTATGTTTAATCAATAGATAAAGCTTTGTGATAAAGCTCAACTTTCTTGACTCCATCATGATTTATTATTAAAATATTAAACGAATGTTTACATGTGTGTGTGTGTGTGTGTGTGTGTGTGTGTGTGTGTTTTTTTTTCTCTCTTTATCAATACGTATTTCCATTTTCGTCTTCTTTTATTTCGAGGATAAGGAAAAAAAATTCTCGTCTCTTGGTATTATTCAGCTATGCCGCACTTTCTCGACGCTGCATAACTTTCTATACATGTGAAACACGTAACTACCGAATTCAGAGAGTATTTACGAGTGTACGTACGCTCGTATATGAAGTAGAAAGAAGTCATGTACTTTTGCTCTCGTATAGTATTTTATATATATGTATCTGTATATATATATATATATAAAGAAAAAAAGAGAGGAAGAGAGAGAAAAGAGAAAAGAGAAAAGAGAAGAAGAACGAGAAGAAGGTAAAGAAGAAAGAAGAAAAAGGGTTCTAGGGCTGAGTTTTTCAGTAGTGGGGTTGGTTGTGTAGTTTTATTTAGGAGGAAAGGTAGCAGAATGCGACTATTGCACGGACAAAAGAAAGTGTAGAAAGAAAAAAGAGAGTAAGAGAGAGAGAGAGAGTGAGAGAGAGAGAGAGAGATAGAGAATCGCTTTAAACTACCATCCACTTTACATTCCTGATTTCACTTAATCTCTTGTTTATTTCTTTTTATGGTTTTCCAAGCAACCATCGTAGAATACATCGTTGCTTCACATGAAATGCGAAAGGTAATAGAAATAATAGAAAAGAATCTATTCAGAGGAGACTAAAGGTGATAAGAACTCTTTGCTCTCTTTCTCTCTCTCTCTCTCTCTCTCTCTCTCTCTCTCTTTTCTCTTTATTTCTTCTTTTTCCTCTTTTTCCTTTTTACTTTTTTTTTTTTCTTTTATTATCCATTAGAAGAAGTCTCGACAATAAATTCCAAGCCATTTTGACTCTCCCACCCATCCTCCCCCTCCCTCCCACCGTTCCTCTTTTCACCTATTATATTAGAATTGACACGATTTTCCCGGCCATTGTAGCCACCTTGCGGTGTCCTTCAATCGGCCCGTTGAGAGAAATGCAATTTTCTAAGCTCCACCATTTTATCGACATTTTAAGCTTGGAAAGGATTGAAATTAGAAAGGGAGTTCGTTTTGAGTTTCATTAGGCATGTACTTAAGCTGATAAAATTTTTTATGCCCGACGAAGTTTATTATTATTTTCCTTCTTCTACTTTTTTTTGTTCTTTTTTTTCTTTTTTTTTTTTCTTTTTCATTTTCACGCTTTACCTTCTAATCTCTCTCCGTCTATCTTGGATCTTTCGAAATGTTTTAGTTTTTATGATGGATTTAAATTTGGATTTAAAAAGAGAGAGAGAGAGAGAGAGAGAGAGAGAGAGTAGGAAGGAAGGAGGGTAGGGGGAGGGAGAGAGGGACAAAGGGACGTTGAGATACATCGAAAATTCACTTAACGCGTTGGGAGTAACGTCGACGATCACCGGACGTGACGGAGCTTCTACCTACGTATGTACGTCTTTGTCATCAAGCGTGGACACATATATGTACGACGATGAATTTCGGTTTCGCACGTCATGCAATATGCTTTCTGTGTGTATGTGTGTATGTGTGTGTGTGTATGTGTATATGTCTCTCTCTTTTTCTGTCTCCCTCTCCAGGAAGAAAAATTAGATATATTACTCGACAAAAGGAATACGCTCGAAAGGAAATACTTTCTTTTTTTTTTCTTTGTTATTTCTTTTCTTTCTTTCTTTTCTTTTTTTTTTTATTTTTTTTTTTTTAATCCTACAATTCGATCTAACAATAGGATACAAATAAAAGTGCGATGTTTATTTTTTTTCTTTTTTTCTTTCTTTCTTTTTTTTTTTTTTTTTTTTTTTTTCATTTTTCTTTTTTCTTTTTTTTTTTTCTCCTCTTAAGTCAAATCATTCGTTAAATTCATGCAAGATTTATTTGCATAATGTATGTGTGTATATATATTTTTCTATATTGTTTAGGTTAAAATAACAGGCTAGCGAGAAGAAGAAGAAGAAGAAGTCAGTGACTCGTTCTCGTTTCTCTTCCATGTAATCTGTACCTGCATATATATATATATATATGTGTGTGTGTGTGTGTGTGTGTGTGTATATATACTAATATATAGTAAACGATTATTTACATCTTGCTACACAAACACGGTACTGGGCTCTACCTACGGGTTTTCTATTTTTACTTCGAGTTTATCTCATAGTAGAACGGTCGCAATGCGTTTATTGGAAATTTATTTTCCTCTGCGAGAAGTCGTTAACGGGTTCGTCGTCTCCGCTACGTGCAAGATCCCATCCCTCCCCTCCCCTCCCCTTATCTTCCCCTTCTCCTCTTACATTTTTACCGATTCTAACGAAAATTTCAATTTTGATTTTCGCTTTTGTACGCATATACGTTTTATATTAATATTTAGTCGATATAGTAGAGATTGATAATAAACAAAAAATTACTTAATGAAAATCAATTGATAAAAGTTATTCTTTGTTCTCTCTCTCTCTCTCTCTCTATCTCTCTCTCTATCTCTTTCTCTCTCTGTTAGATAAAGAATCATTTTCGATTAAAATTTTAATTGATTTTTAATTCAAAGAGAAAGCTAGCTATGAATTTTCATACGACATTAAAAAGATGAAAACTCGTATAATTTTTTCAAACTTGAATTATTAAAAAGGAAAGATTGGTGTTATCATTTTATTTGAAATATATAAAATATCGTAAATGTCTGTGATTTTAATTTGTTCGTTTCATTTTTCTATTATAAATAACGAAACATAAGTGAAACGAAATGAATTCATTGAATACGTGGGAATCGCTGAAAGAATTCGATAAAAAAGAGAGAGAGAAAGAGATTGAGGAAAAGAGAGAGAGAAAGAGAAAGAGAAAGAGAAAGAGAGAGAGAGAGAGAGAGAGAGAGAGACACATAGCTAGTTTGATGTAGATGGATCGCTTGTGAAGCGAAGAGCCTAATATAGATTGATATTGCACGTTCCATGGATACATCTATATGCTCTAATGTCTTTATGCCACGTGCTACTTACTCTGAACATCCTAATGACATCATTGACAGTGATGGTGATTAGTTGATTCACTGCTGATGACTTTTCTATGTACCTTTACGATCATAGTGTTAGATTTAGTTTTTATATACAATATAAATTTTATTTTAACAATATTTTCATCATACAGAAACATATTTATTATTTTCTTTCATACGTCCTACGATGTATACATATATATATTTATATATATATATATATATATATATATATATATTTTTTTTATATTTTTATGTACATTATTCTCTATAATACGTAATTATTATCATACATAATTATCATCTTATAATAATCATAATTAGAAACTTTTCGAAGGAACATAATAAAAGATACGATTAGAGTTTTGTCTACTCTGTTTCATCATATATTTTATTTTGTTATTGTTGTTGTTCTTTTTTTTTTTTTTTTTCTTTCATACGTACGATTACGTCACTTTCATACGTATCTAATTATTATTTTAAAATTAGAAATTCCTTGATAATGAGTTGGGAAAATAAATTAGAAAATATCTCTCCATAGGTTGGAATTAATTCGAACGTAGAAATCAGTCGGTCAAGCAATCAGTCGGTGATGGGAATTAAATATTTTTTCTTTTTCTTTCTTTTTTTTTTTTTTTTTTTTTTTTTTTTTTTGAATTTCTAGAGGGCATGATTTTCTTTGAAGATCGATGTTCCTCTCTTGGACGTGCACATGGCACATGAGTGTGTTCTTCCGAGCAAATCGTTGGAATTGCGCGCAAGTAGAAAGTAGTATAGTGTTCAAGGAGGAGAAGTAGAAGTAGAAGTAGAAGTAGAAGAAGAAGAAGAAGAAGAAGAGGAGGAGGAGAAGGAGGAGGAGGAGGAGCTGATAGAGAAGGAGGGCAAGGGAGGAATATGGACGGAGGGAGAGGGAGGGTGGGTGTGTATGTGGGAGGAGGAGAAGGAGGAGGTAGCCGCATAATGTAATGGCTGCGATTTGCGGCTATTTCATCGTCCCGTTTGCACGCGATCTTCTCGTAATTCCGCACGTCATGGCGTCGGCATGTTTCTTCTTCGCTATCTGACACGTTACACCTGTTACCACGTGCAAG